TTCAACAGGGCAGCAGTCACTACCCTGCTCCATCGTCTAACACTTGGTTTCTGCCACCTCCTAAGCACTAGCTTTTGGAGTTAGAAGACAGGTTTTTGGGTAACCCAGAATGCAAACATTCTACCACTGTGCAGGCTGAGGAAACTGTGAGAAGGAAACCAGTAAGCAACACTTCTCCATGGCCTCTGCATCAGCTCCTGCCTCAAGGTTCCTGCCCTGCTTGTGTTCCTGTCCTGACTCACTTTGGTGATGAATAGCAAAATATAAGCTGAATCCGCTCTTTCCTCCCCAATTTGCTTTTTGGTCGTGGTGTTTGTTGCAGCGATAGAAACTCTAAGGCAGCCCTCTCTGAAACCCTTCTGTCTATAAGTCGTCCTGGTTCCTGGTGTTTCATCACAGCAAAGGACAAACAGGTGCTTTCACACTCAGGCTTCGCAACCCTGAGTTTAACCTCTGATGCCCAGCTAAAAGTGGGAGGACAGGTCAGGTGGTGCAGACCTTTAATCCCAGCACGCGGGAAGCAGAGGCAGGTGGATCTCTGTGAGTTCGAGGCCAGCCCGGTCTACAGAGTGAATTCCAGGACAGCCAGGGCTACACAGAGAAACCCTGTCTCGAAAAACAAACCAAACAAAACAAAACAAAAAGTGGAAGAACAGAACCAACTCTGCAACTCTGTCCTCCGCCCTCCACACATGTATCATGGCACACATAACCCCCCCCCATAAGTAAATACAAAAATGCTGATGTTCTGAGTCTCTCCCTTAAAGGACACGTGGCTGCTGTTCAAAGTCAGTGTAGATATGGGCCTGAGTGGCCCAACTTAGGAAAGCACTTCCTCCCTTTCAGTCTTAGTTTCTTCAACACTAAAATAGAATGAACTAGAATGGATATATTATTTTCCGGATCCATGGCATAGACCTGCAATGGCAGCTGGGTAGGCTGAGGCAGCATAATTGTACACAGAAAGCCTGCCTGGTCTAGAGAGTGAGTTCAAGGCCAACACGGGCAGCTTTGGAAAAGGAAAAGAGAGGGCGTGGTTCAGTGGTAGTGCCTGCCTAGCAGGCATGAGGCTCTGGGTTCTAGTCCCCCATATTGTCAACAAAATAATAATTTATGTCTACATTTGAGGGTTCCCTTTCTCTGATTCAGTCTCTAGCTTAAAGCAAGGGTTAAGGGGAAGGAGAGGTGGGAGAGACCAGTCTGCTCTCATCACAGTCTGGCTCATACCTGCGGTACACACTCAAGATCCCATGAGGGTCACACCCAGGCTGACACATCTCCACCCTGTAAAGTTGAGGCCCCAAGCCTGTTCAGAGTCCTCAGGGTATGGTAAGTGCAAGCCCAAGGCCTCAACATGAACACAAGGGTGACCTCTTGACCTCCAAGCCTAGTGCCCATAAAATGAGGCAGATGCTCAGACTTGGAAGTGAGCTGAATCAGATAGGTTAGATGGGCATGGGCAGCCTCCTGTCCCACGGGTGCGAACTCATGTACACATCTGTGTACATTTGAACACAGATATCATGTACATACATGGATGTCCACAGGAATGGTACTTTTGTCTGATTGGATGTAAAACTTCAGGGCAAATTCCCAGCATGATAGTCACTATTTTTGTAAAATAGAGACTTGACAAGTATAGGTGCTTTGTCTGCAAGCATGTCTGCATTCCTGGTGCCCACAGAGGCCATAAGGGGGCATCATATACCCTGGAACTGGAATTACAGAGGTTGTGAGCCACCATGTGGGTGCTGGGAGTCAAACCTGGGTTCTCTGAAAGAGCAACAGTCTTTGAACTACTGAGCCATCTCTCTAGCTCCTTTTTCTTTATATGTTTACTTTGGCAGTGCTGGGGATTGAAGCAGGATATCACACGTCGGGGCATCTGCTCTATCACTAAGCCACAGCCCCCTTTTGATAGTTGCCAGGCTCAAGCCAGAGTCCCAAGTAGCCTGGAATTTGGCCTAACAGTTTGAACATTGGGTACAGCCAATATTGGGAACAGGATCCGGGTCAATTAGGGTACCAGAGTGTATGCCAAGAGCCCTGTTCTCTAGACTTGGGGAACCAGAACTTTGTGCTCCAACCAAGTTAGAGGATCCATGGGGAAGACGCCTATGCCAGACACTTTCTGAGAGCTTCAGGCTACAACCACTAAGTCTTTGATTAGAACTCCTATATATCAGATCTGACATCTAGCCTGATCGGGAAAATATGTGGACAAGACTCTATCCTTAGGATGTCAATCATTCACTTGTTAAGATTCACATAGTCATCAATATTTGCTATTTTAAAATATTTTAAGATTTACTTTTATGTGTATGGATATTTTACATACATGGATATCTGTTTACCACTTTTACAGTGCCAGAGGAGGCTAGAAGAGGGTGTTGAATCTTCTGAAACTGGAGATAACAGACGCTTGCTAGCTGCCATGCAGGTACTGGGAATCAAACTCAGTGCTCTTTACCACTGAGCCATCTCTCCAGCCTGATTTACTTTGTTATTTAATTAATACGGGCTGGAGAGATGGCTCAGTGGTGAAGACTGCTTGAAGATCTTTTAAAAATACTTTAAATGAGGGGTATGATTTTTTTTTAAGTTTTGTTTGTTTTGTTTTTTGAGACAGGGTTTTTCTGTGTAGCCCTGGCTGTCCTGGAACTCACTCTGTAGAGCAGGCTGGCCTCGGACTCACAGAGATCCACCTGCCTCTGCCTCCCCCGTGTTGGAATTAAAGGCGTGCGCCACCACCAGCCAGCCTTTTTAAAGTTATCTTTATTTTATGTGTATGGATGTTTTTCTCACGTGCACTGCTGTGTACCACATGCATGCCTGGTGCCCACAGAGGTCAGAAAGGCCATCAGATTCCCTGGAACTGGAGTTAAGATGGTTGTGAGTGGCTGTGTGGGTTCTGGGAGTCAAGCCTGGGTCCCCAGGAGACCAGTCAGTGTGCTTAACTGCTGAGCCAGATCTCCAGCCAGATAAAATAAAACTATTTAATTTGTACCATGCCTACACAGAAGAGAACACTGGGTCCCATTATAGGCAGCTGTGAGCCACCATGCAGGTGCTGGGAACTGAACTCAGGAGCTCTGGAAGAACAGCCAGTGTTCTCAACCGCAAAGCCATCTCTGCAGTCCGTCCAGCCTGGTGTTTTCATTTTTAATTGGGTCTCTCTCAGAGTATGGTGACACATGCCTTTAATTCCAATACTTGAGAGGCAGAGGCAGGTGGATATGTGTGAGGCCAAGCCAGATTGATCTATATAGCGAGTTCCAGGCCAGCCAGAGTTACATGGTGAGACCGTCTCAAAAAACTGAGACACACACACGCACACACACACACACACACACACACACACACACACACACAGAGGGCAGGGAGCCCATTTGTACACACTGACTCACAGTGTTGCCCAGGCTGTTCCTAGGCACTCAGCAGGCAGGACTACAGGTACAAGCCACACACTCAGCTACCTACCATTTATTGAACAAACAGATGAGACTGTCCATCAAAGCAGTCTCTGACACGTGAGGAGGGCAAGAGTGGCTTCCTCTGAGAAAGAGCAGAAGAATTTTGAAGACAGGAAAGAATGTTAGAAAGGCACGAAGAAGGCAATTCAGGAAGAGGAAAGCACTTCAGCACAATCATGGAGGTGACAGAGGAGTTTAACCAGCACATGGTGCACTGAGAAGAAGGAAAGAAGAGGGTACTGGAGAGAACCTGGTCTGGGTTGTGAAGAACAATGAATGCTGTTGGGACTGTGGGACTCTGTGAGAATAGAATAGAAGGTTCTAGAGCAAATAAGTGTGCTGGCAGGAGGGACATGTTAGGGATTAGTTTGTCAGCAAGGTCGTCAACAGAGGGTATGGGATTAGTGGGAAGTGGCTGTGCTAGGCAGAGGTTCAGGTTTGCACAAATGAGGGTACATTGGAAACCCTAGTGTAAGGAACACAGTGCTAACCATCTCCTCCCCCCAAGCCTCTGGGTATCATTTTCTGGCTCTGCCCTCTGCCTGGCAGGGCTCAGTCCTCTCTTAGGGCTGCCTGGCCATGCTGGGCCAGGGTTCTTGAAATCACCAAAGCATAGAGCTCTGAACCAGCTCCTGCTGGCCAAATGGACAGCTCTCTGAGCCAGATCTGTTCTACTTAGAGATTCAGATGCTCTAGCCTGGAAATCCCCAGGACGGGAGTTTGAAGCTTCTCTCTAAATATCTCAGAGGCCACTGCACAAGCTGGGGCCTGAAACACTAACTTGGCAGAATCTTGGGGATGAAGAGCCTGGAAAACTCTCTCTGTTAGCGCTAAGTTTGAATATATATGTCAGCAGGATTGGTAGACTAAGGTCCAGAGTGGTAACGACTTTCTTGGAATCTCACAGCTGAGACACAGGACTGGAAGCCATATCTCTCTAGGGAGATGTTAGGATCCTGGAGTTCAGATCCTCTGGTGCAGGTAGAGTGACCCTGTGGATTCAGCACCTGACTCTGTCACTGAGTACGGCTGAATTACCTTGAGAAGTTCCTTAGATTCTCCTGGTCTGTTTCTTCAACTGTAAAAGGAGGATTCTGCCTAACTTTGGGGGTTAGTTTGAAGATTAAAAAGCAGCAGAATGCTTGGCATATGGTAAGTGTTCAATGTCAGCTGGCGATTTGGCAGAGATTTGCCCCCTTCTCGCCCCATTTCCTCTCTCCGAGAATCTCCTGCAGCTGCCTTTCAACTCTTGGACCTACCAAGTGCTGGAATTACAGGCTTGTGCCTGTATTCTGTGTTTCCATATGTAAACCAGGACCAACAATCACTGTCCTGTCACTGCTCTGTCCTGTTCCGGTAGCAACGTGGACGAAATAAGGTGTGTTTAAGTAAACGGTCTGGGGCTGAGCTGTCTCCAGGTCGATGTTTATTCAGCTTAGAGCAATTTCTTTCCAAGGCCTCCTCTGGCCAAATTTCCCGTCAGCCCCACCAGCTCCCCCACACGCGCAGGTGCTCCTTTGTAACTGCGGAAGGGGAAAGGTCCGCTTTAGCCCAGCGGGGGGGGAAAAAGAGATGGGGAAAATAGAAAACGTGTAGGATGACATGAGACAGAAGAGGGAAAGCAGGCAAGGGCAGAGTGGGGAACAGCAGTAAAGGACAAGGAGCGGGGCAAAAGGGACTTACAGATGGTGCGTAGTGGGGGGTTCCTCCTGTACCCCCCAGGTACAGGCAGGCGAACGGATGTGCGGAGCACTGGGGCAAGGGAAAGAGCAAGGCTATGTGCAGAAAGAGCAGCGAGATCGAATCTTTGCAGAAGAATGGGGGGGATAGTCTTTAGTGCAAGGTTTGTGGGTGACTGGGGGCAGGGAATTCGGGCCATCACCTCCACTCAGCCCGAGGTTCAGGGCGCAGATCCCGGGCTACAGCCACCCGCTGGCGAACCGCGGAGGGGCGGGGAAAGAACATTCGACGCCTGCGATTGGCCGCCGCTCCACGGCCGCTGACGCGAGCGGGCGGGCCCCTTTGTGACGTCACAATCAGCTGTTGGAGCGTTCGGATTTGTGCCGTGAGCCCCGGCGCAGCGGCCGCAGCAGCTCTGGGCATCCGACTGAGAGCCCCGCCGCCTCCCGGCCAGTCCCGGGTATGTGGTCCCGGCTGTGAGCACCGGCGCCCCGGGGACGCCCGGCCGCACAACTACCTCAGCGCACCGGTTGCCGGAGCCGCCCCAGGTGAGTCCCGACCGCGGGGCTGGGGGCTCCGTGCACCCCAGGACACGCCCTGCGCCCCCCTCTCCGGTTCTTTGTCTGTCTCCGCCGGCGGCCGCTGGAGCTGCGTTCTCGGCTCCCTATTGGTTGCCCCAAGCCGGTGGGCCGTGACGTTTCTTATTTGCATATGACATTGAGACGTCACCAAGGCCAGCCCCGCCTTCCAGGCTTGCTTGGGTGCTTGTCCTCTGGTGACCCGGTGGGCGCAGTGTCGAGCCCGGCCGAGGGTTGAGAGACATTGAAAGACTAGCGGCACCTGAGGGGACTCGGCGGTTTCCCGGGGTAATCTAGGAACTGGGGTCCGGCTTCTCACCTGCTTTTTCCTTGCGACCTGAGGAAGGGTCGGACGGCACAGCACGATCTAAGTTGAGAGTGTGGTAGGTGGATGAAGGAGGCTTCAGACTCCAGGTCCCTGAGACAGCACCAGATGGTAGCGGATGCCCTCTGTCTTCAGGCTCCTCCCCCCAACATAATAACATCCTTCTAATCCCTGACATGTGTGCAGAGCTTTAGTTGATGTCATTTTCAGCCTACAAATAGTGAGGGTCTTAAAGCCCACTTCATGGAAGGAGAAACTGATACCCAGAGAGACATAGCTTACTGGAGATCTCAGCCAATTAGAGTCACACTCAATGAGTGACAGGTTCCTTGGCTGTGGGCAAATGCATAGTACAAGCTCAGTTCAAATAACAAGCTATATATCTACCCTATCTCAGCACCACCCGGTTTGACAGGGTGTTTGTCTTCCCGATGCTGGACCTTTTTCCAGGAGGTCTCTGAAGACTGGGTCCCTTTCAAGGCCCTGACCTTCTCTGCCTTCTCTCGACTTAGAACCCAATAAATTGCTATAGAGCCCAATAAATTGCTGTCTCCCAGCTGTTTTGACCACAGAAAGGTGAGTCACTAGTTGCCTGCCTCCAGCTGTCTCCAGGGCAGATGTTGTTGAGAAGGACTTGGGAGTTCCCTCTTTTGGCCTCTCACCACCTTGTCAGATCCCAGGCTGTCAGCTGGGAGGACCCAGACCTTCCCTAGTGCGGTGGCTGCAGAGCTTCTGCCAGCTCCTGAGTCTGCTTCCAGAGGAGCAGAGAGAATGTGTCTTACTTTCCAAGTGAGTAGCTATGGAGGCTGGATCTGGAGCCTCTTCCCAGGCTGGGGTTTGGTCAAGAATGGCCTGGGCTAGGGGTGACTTAGGGCTCAAGTGCTATTCTGGGCACAGCTGCTGTAGCATTGAGGGAAGGTTCTAACTGGAGGAGAGCCAGGAATTTGAGAACCAGGAAGCCAGCAGGCTAGGAAAGAAAACCCAGGAGGCTCTCCTAGTGATCAAGGGGGAGAGGGGTGGGCAGTCAGGGGTGGGCTGGTTGCTGCCATTTCTCCTGGCTGTCACTGACTCCTGTATGATCTCTGCCAGCAAGCTGCTCTTCTCAGCCTCTCTTACCTCTCTCAACATGTCAACAGTTGAGGCTCATTGCAGGGCCAGATACAGTGGGACCCCTGAGAAGTGCATGCTGAAGCTCGATGCCAGGATCTCCACATCTTTCCGTGGATAGACAGAAGGGTGACGGCTGGAGCAAGGCACTTGTCTGATCTCCCTGCCTCTTGTGCACCCTTGTGCTCTTGGGTTTTATCTCTTGAGGCTTTTCTGATTATATATACTCTGCACTGCCTCACCACCACTAAGCTGTAGCTTTTTGGATAGATTAAGGTTATCACTTTAAGGTCTCCATTTCTAGAACAGGGGACTACTTCCTTGTCTCGGTCTAGGGAAGAGCCGTCTGAAGGCTTGGGTCTTGATCCAACCCTTGTGTTTATCCTTCTGGGCTCCTTGGATCTAACTACTTCCTTTTCCTATCATCACCTACCACTGACATGTCTTACTAGGGCCAGCCTACCCAATATTCTCTGTCTTGGCCAGAGATGCTGTCCTTGGACAAGAGTGTGGGGAAAGGGGGTTAGAGGGGGGGAGGGCCTGTAGGCATAGGCTCTTACACCTCATCTGGAGTACACAGTTGAGGGTTGCCTAGTCCCGTGGTGAGATTGTTGCAAGAATTGTGTGGTTTCTTTTCAAACCACGTAGGGTCCTATAACTATTCTTGGTCTCTGGGGCCAAAGATTGCTGCTTAGAAAATCTTGCTGAAATACAAGATCTTTTTTTTTCCTAGAAAAATACACCTAGACACAGCCATAGTTATCAAGTTAAAAATGTCTAGACAGACATCCAGAAAAGACAGGAGTGGACGATAGTGATTATGGATGCCACTAGCTGTCTGGATTCAAATACTAACTGTTGTTTTTTTACTAGCTGTGAGACTTTGGGCTTACCTTACCTCTCTGAGCCTTGTTTTATTTTTCTCTTTCCTTTTCTGTTCCCTTTGACAAGATGCCATATAGCCAAGGACTGTTTGTTTTTTTAAGTAGGGTCCCATGTGGCTCATACTGGCCTTAAACTCACTGTTTAGCCAAAGCAGAACTTGAGCTCCTGATGCTTTTGCCTCCACCTTGCAAGGATGACAGATGCGGCTTATCATGTCTGACTTTGAACTTTTTGGTCCTCTTGTCTTTGTCTCCCAAGTACTAAGTTACAGGCTTGTACTTTCATACCTTGCTCCGATTCTATGCTTTGTTGTGAGGACTACGGAAGGTAAAACAGATGAAGTGGCTTAGTGTAGTACCTGGCGCATGAATGTTAATTTTATGATGATGATAGTAAGGGCAGTTTCTTCCCTCGATGGAAATTTCCTATTTACTTTTCAAAGCCCAGCTTGGCTGTTCCATCCTCTAGAGACCTTCCCTGGCAAAGCCTGGTCATATATATCACTTCTTCCATATCCCCAAAGCAACCTGTAGTAACGGCAAGTTTATTAGCTTATTGGATGCTTACTGTGTACTCAGGCACTGTTCTAAACACATAGTGTTTAGCCATTTAGTTCTTATTAGGGGGCTACTGGTCTTGTTTGACAGACAAGAAAACAAAGATACAACAGTTTCCTAAATTCACATTGGAAAATCTACTGAGAGCAGAAAAGCACACTCAAGAGCCTGCCCAATGCTTCTCCATTATCACTGCTCTGGATGCTGGGGGCTGGAGCCCTGTCCCCCAGCCAGCAAGGGTAGACTTTAGTCTGTGGTGCTAACCTCTTTCTGTGCTTCCCAGGTTTTTGCACTGCCATAGGGCGCCCCCTTGAGGTTGCTTTACCCGCTGACCATGTTCCAGCGCTTTACCAGCCTTTTCTTCAGCACTCCTTCGCCTCCTGAAGACTCCAACTGTCCTGGGGCCTTCGTCTCAGAGGAGGATGAAGTGGATGGCTGGCTCATCATTGACCTGCAGGGTGAGGCCTGAGTCAGGGGACCAGAATTCTGATTCCTATGAAGGTACCCTAAGGAAAGGAGGCCTTGCAGTATGGAGGGGAAGGGCTATTTGGAAATTGGAGTCCCCCTAGGCCTAGTGGGTCAAGTGAAGTTGAGATAGAGCCTAGAGGTAAAGTAGTACAGACCTTCTCCTGAAAGCCTTGTCTGTCTCCTGATTTGCTGGGGCTTACACCTGGAACCCCCTAGGGCAGCAGGGTACAAAACCTGGCCCTCAGGTGCTCTCTGGGCACGGTGGACAGGGCTGCAGGTCTGACTAACGATGCCCTTTCTCTCCCCATCCCGTGTCCGGTCTGTGTGTGTGTGTCCCACTCCCGCTGCTCCCTCTCCTCCGCATGACCCCTCCCCCTACACCCTATAGACAGCTACACAGCTCCCCCAAATCCTGGGGCCTCTCCTGCTCCCGCAGGCCGCCCTCCACCCGCACCTTCCTTGATGGACGAGAGCTGGTTTGTTACCCCTCCCGCCTGTTTTACTGCAGAGGGGCCCGGTCTTGGGCCGGCCCGCCTCCAGAGCAACCCCCTGGAGGACCTCCTCATTGAGCATCCCAGCATGTCCGTTTATGTCACCGGCAGCACCATAGTGCTGGAGTCTGGGCCACCTTCCCCTCACCCTGACGCTGCCTTGCCTGACCAGGACCTCAGCGATGGGTGAGTGGGTTGAAGGCTGTCAAGACTGTCCGCCTAGCAGGGGAGTGTCCTTGAGACAAAGGTGGTACTCACAGGGGTCACTGATGGGAGAGAGACGTGGCCTTATGGCTAAAGTGGAACTTGGGAGAGTCTTAGCTCCAGGGGATTGGGACCGGCTTGAACTGCTAGGCCAGAGTGTAGAGTGGGGCTTGTTTTGATTAGGGGTTCGGTTTAGCTAAGAAACATCTCTAACTGGGATTGAGGGAAGAGTTGGTACCCCTCAGTTAGGGCATCATATACTCTGCCCAGAAGAGACAGGGTGGGAGACACCAGCCCCCTGTCCCCTTCTGACGTTTGTACTCTGTCCCTGCAGAGAGTTGGCGCCTGCCCGCCGGGAGCCCAGGGCCCTGCACCACGCAGCTGCTGCTATGCCGGGGCGAGCTGTGCTGCTGGAAAAGGCCGGTCAGGTGCGGAGGCTGCAGAGAGCCCGGCAGCGGGCAGAGCGCCACGCCTTGAATGCTAAAGTGCTACAGCGGCAGAACCGCACTCGGGAGAGTCGCTCGCGCCGGCCCAAGCACCAGGGCAGCTTCATTTACCAGCCGTGCCAGCGCCAGTTCAACTACTGAGCGCACCCTGTTGCACCTCGAATCCCGCGCAGTTTCCCGGTCCCATCTGCCTCTTCGGCAGCAGCCAGTGTGCTGCTCAAGGGGTGTCCAGGGTCCGCCTGCCTCCATCTGGATACCACAAGCTCCCTCCTTCCTAAGTGTTTGAGGTGGGATGATGGCCCTCTACTCCCTGACTTCTCAGTTTCTGAACTAATTCACCTTCTAGTCTCTTTCATCCCAGGTCACTCTCCCCATCTGTTTCGGATTCTTCACCGTCACACTCCCACTCCTACTCTGCCATGCTTCCTTTTCAGACCCCTGTGCTTGTCTCTCTCCTCTTCACTTTGGTCCTCCTAGCGCACCCGATTTCTAAGAGCCTCTCCCACTGACCAAAGTGGCGCATTCTCCACTTTGAGCTCCTCCTTTCCAAGACTTGATCTTTTCCCTTAGGAATTGCTCCCACTCCCCTTCCCTTTTTCCTTCCTGCCAATTCCCTCCCAATCCTGACCAGGTACAACCTGCCAGGCCTGGGCCATTGTTCTTACCCTGTAGGCAGGTGTCAGATACAGGGTTTTGATTTTATTCCCCCCAACCTGCCCTGGGGGCTGAGCTCCTTGGAGCTGCTTAGGCCTAGAAAGTTTAAGTATGTGGAGGAGGACAGTGAGTTGTAAGTTAGATAAGGTGAAGGGAATAGAGGGAAACAGGCAGCCTATTGGGAGGTGCAGACAGGGATGGATGGAAGGAGAAACAGTAGCGAGCAGGGCATTGTGAGAGCAGGCACTGTGCTTGGTCAGAGGAGCTAAGCCCTGGTCTTAGGCTTGAGCCTGGAGCCTGCCCCCATTTCCTTTTCCTATAATCCTGCCTTCCAGGATTTTTCCTGAAATCTGTCCCCTTCAGGAGCCCTTCCCTCCCCACTTCCCAGTGAGTCTGGAGTTCGAAGGGCTTGTACCTTGTCACCTTACCTTGACATGCCACCCCAGGAGTAGAAGCTGGGTAAGGCCCTGACATCCTGGCCATCTTTGTTCATATGCCCAAGGTGCTAGAATTAGCTTAGGAGAGACACAGGCCAGAGGCCTTCCAGGCAAGGAAAAGGGTACATATCCCAAGAATGCAGAGGGATGATGCTGAAGGACACTAACTTTGGGGTAAAGTCATCCCCAGACTGACAGCTCTGCCTTCACCTTGCCTCTGGCCTTATATTTCATACTTTGCTCAATATAGCTGGCTAATAAACACTCCTGGGTAGGAGGCCAGGAGCCTCAGTGTTCCAGTTCCCAAATTTTTCTTACAGAAGTTCAGGGCCTTCAAGAGGCTTCTTAATGTTTTCCCTCAGGGCTCTTCCTCTCTGGGTGCCCTGTGGTCTCTCTTCCCTTTCTAGTTAACTATCTGGAGTTAAGGAATTCTTGGGTAGAGCACAGGGATGGGGTAGCCAGCTTCCCCCTTCTTGTGGTGGGGCTCAGACACCAGCAACAGCCTCTTGGGATGCCCCCAAGTTGTTTCCAATTCTTTCTAGCTGTCCTTTTTTAAGTGTGTGCTCTTCCTTCCTCAGAACTTTTAGATTTCCTGTTACATATTAACACAGGTCTTCCCTTCACTTCAGCTCCAGGTTATGGGCCTCAGACCCACACTGGGGTTGGATAAAACTGCATTCCTACGAGGGTTAAAGTAGCTGCCCTCTCTGATGCTTTCTCACCAGGCTTCATGTGGGGATGGGAGAGGGTGTCCCCAGGATGGGGACAGGAAGCTTGGACTCCTAGCCCAAGGATAAGCCAAATGCAAACTATACGCAGATCAAAACCTCACAACAGCTTATTAGGGCCCTAGTAGTTGATAACCTTGTTCCTGCCCCAAGTCCTTTACAACCTAGTACACTTACTCTTCCTGCTATCTGAAGGTCACTTCCCAGCCAGCTTAGGATCGTCAGCACTTCCAAGAGCTGTGACTCCCTCCAGCCCTTCTTGTCTATTCCTCACTGCCAGATAGGGCCTAGGCTCAGTCCTGGGCAAGTGCCCATGATCCTGCTGCTGTGGGAAGTTTGATAGGGCATTTGGCTCAACTTTCAAAAGGCCTCACCTCTGCCCTGTATTTCTAGACGCTCCTGTAGTTCTAGAACCCTCCAATCTCTCATTTGACTGGTTGCAAGGCTTATTTTTCTTTTGTACTTTCCTATAGATTCTGTAGCATTTATGTGGCAATATTTTAATTGTGTATAGATTTCTTAAGAACCAACACTACTCAGTCTCCTGCTCGTCTGCCTCCTGAAGCATCAGACCTTGTCATACTGTATTGACTGTGTATGTGCCTTTCACCTTGAGCATGCTTCAGGATTTTTTTTTTTTTCTTAAACCACAGAACTTGAATACACAAGGGAACCAGAATTCACAAAGTCCTATGCAACCCTAGACAGGAGGAGGTTAGAGAGTCTGTCTTGACTGATGATTTCAGAGACCCTAGAGAAATTTGTACCAGTTTGTATTAATGTCAATACTACCAGCACTTTGCCAAAACTAAGGATGTCAGAGGGACCTGTTTCTAGAGTGAGTCCCGATTACATCAAAGGGCAACTTCCAGCTTTCTCCAATAAGTCTGAGTGGTTCTCTTGAGCTGGTGTCACTTTCTAACCTTTGCCAGTCTAGCCCCAGCAGGGCACTGTGTGTGTGTGTGAGTGCAGTTTGGTGCTGTTCTGGAGTATGCCTGCTCCCCAGCCTGGAACCCTCTGATCAACTTGCTGTGACCTATAATGTCTTAGGTGCAACAAGGACCCTACCAGAGCTCCTGGGTGGCTTTCAAGATCCATGTAGCTTTGTGTGAGGGGACTGAATGCAGACAAACCACAGCCTGCTCTAATACCTTCTTGCCCTACCACCTAGTTCCAAATGGAACCAACAAGTTGAGTGCATCTCTGTTGGGTGTTTTGTGTTGAGACTGGCTGAAATGAAAAATCTTTTGACTGACCATGTTGTGATGTGTCGACAGACTCAAGGACACAACCACCTCGACCTGGTCATGTGGCATGCCTGTGTATGTGTGTAACAGGATTCTGAATGTTAGATTGTAATGCTATTCCTGTATGGGAGAAAAAATAATATAAACAAATAAAAATCTATTTAAAGCACATCATGTTTTCTGCCTGAGTTGAGCTAAAGTATGAGAAACACTATAATCTCAAGTATAGTCAAGGCAGAGGGTATTATTATTAGGCTGGCTTTGGCTCTGGTTTGTCATACAAGAGAGGAAGAGGGTAAAATAAGTTCTCTAGAAAGAGACAATATAGGGTCTGACTCATAAACTGTTTTTAGAAGACCCTCTGAAGACACATATGAAGATATCTGAAATCCAGGAACGAGAGTGGAAGCACGGCAGACACGGGGCCATTCTTTTAGTCTCAGGCGCTGGGTTACAGCAAGGACAAGGAGCTCCTACTTAACTGCAGAATCACACTAACTAAGATAGTCTTGCTGGTCAGTCTGAGCATTCCTGAATGGAGCAGCACAGGCATGAGGTGGCCATCTATGTTGCTGACAGCTTCTTGCCTCTAAAAATCAAATTGGCCTCAAACTTGATGTAGCTGAAGATGACCTTGAACTCGTGATTCTTTTTGGCTTTTCGAGGAAGGGTTTCTCTATATAACAGCCCAGGCTCTCCTGAAACTCATTTTATAGATCAGGCTGGTCTCAAACTCACAGAGATACACTTGCCTCTGGGATTAAAGGCATATGCCACCACCGCCTGGCTAATTTGTGATTCTTATGTCTCTGCTTCCCAAGCATTATGATTACAAGTGTGTGCCACCATACTTGGTGATAATTTGCAAACCAATGAAATTAGACATATGCGCGCGCATGCGTGCGCGCGCGCGCACACACACACACACACACACACAAGATCTCCAGTATGTTGCTAAACAGTTCTGGCTTGTTCAAAGCGTTACAAAGAAGGCTGTGTCTACTCATCTATGACTAACAAGAAAAGTTTGTTTACTCTTTCCAATAACATACTTTTAAGTTCTATGACAAAGACATTTATTTAACACGTTCAATATTTCACATTGTACAAACCCTTAGATTCTCTTTATTCACTGGTCCATTTCTACAACAAATACATCCAAAACACTATATAATAAAATTATTTACAACATTTCCAAATGACAAGATTGCTTTTTGCCCCACTACTGCTATTCACACACAGTACTTCCACTGCACAATACATCATTAGAAGATCTATAAATGTTCACCCTGTACTCTAGGCTGCTTAAGAAATGTGAAACTAATAACATTTATAATGGCATTAGCTTCTTTCAATACATGGCAACATTTTAGAAACCTTGAACTTCATTTCGCAACACCAAAAGGGCTGCTCCCCGTTACACTTTATGAGACAGGTTTCAGGGACTAGGAAAAGGATCGAGTTATTAAAATGACTAACTGTACAGAAAGATTTAAAAAGTCACAGCTGAAAATTGCTCTTTGTAAAATTCACACACATTTACAAGTATCAAGTCATCTTCCAGCTTGCTTACTTGGATTTTCTTCGCTTGGATTGCACTGCACCAGTTATATCTGTTGGGGAAAAGGAAGGACATGTTCAACGAGGGCAGCAGTGCTGTCTAGGTGTCGACAATGTCTTGAACTGACATAACTGAGTCCTTATTAGGCTTTAAATCAGTTTAGGGGACACATGGTTTGAAAACAGTCACAGGCTTTTTGCCTGCTGTGGTAAGAGAGAGTTTCCCTGTCTGTCAGGGGCTGCCAACTGGGGAAATGTGATGAAGACCAACAAGATGGCTCAGTGGGTAAAAGCACTTGCTATCAAACCTGACAACCCAAGTTCAATCCCTGAACCCCACATGGTGGAAAGAGAACCAACTGCCAAGTGCACCTTTATTATATTAGTCTGCGTGTGTATGCTTGGGCATGTGAAGGTCAGAGGACAACTTGGAGTCGGTTCTTCTGCTGGTTCAAGGATTGTGTGACAAGTACTGTCACCTGCTTTATCTCTACCTCGCTCACCAACCTGATCCCTCACAAGCTGTACAATCACCAACTCTCATCATTCACTGATGCTACAGACACACCAACAGTGCTTTCGGCGAGAAGTCAGCCAGTGAGTGAATTGTGCCAGAAATTAGTTTTTGGCTCTCTTTTGTAGCCAAGCCATTATTCTGCAGTAAGGAACTCTTCTTGGTATGCTACAGCTAAAGTCTAAGCGACACGACCTAGATCTTAGTCAAAGTCTACTGTGGCCCACACACAACAAGGCGTTGGAGGGCTGGGGTTACATAGCTCTAGCAGCAGATTACCTGCCTAGCATGTCTGAGGCTCTCAGCTCAGTCTACACTGTCCCCTCCCCCCCCAAAAACAGTACATACACATATGGAAGTATTTCAGGGCACCTTCCCCAATTCTGAAGGCTGCTGCACAGCTGGCACCTGAGTGATTTATACACAGAAACAGTGATGTAAAAGGGAAAGACTGCTTTATGCCTTAATTACTTTAACTTTCCTTATACACACCAAGTCAAGCTACTCTTATCTCAGATTTAAATCATGTTTATTCAAAACTTTTCCTGTCTTCTATGGCACAGTACAGTAGTACTCTGAAGTTCTGTAAATGTAAACATTTCTTTAAAATCTAATTAACTGAGCTGGGTGGTGGTGGCAGCACACACCTTTAATCCCAGTAGTCGGGAGGCAGAGGTGGGCAGATCTCTGAGTTGGAGACCAACCTGGTTTACAGAGCAAGTTCCAGGACAGGTTTCAAAGCTACAGAAGAGAACCTGTCTTAAAACAACAACAACAACAACAACAAAAACACAACAAAATCTAATTGACTTATTTTTCATGTTGCTACATGATAGATATTTTAGTTTCAATACAAAATAATATTTTATCTCGGTGTTGTGGGACACACTTTGTAATTACATCTGCCACCTCAGCACCTGTAAGGTGCAGGCAAAGGGTCATCTTTGGTATATACAGGGTCTTAGTCTTGAGGTAACTCCAACAATGTTTTAAATATCTCTCATTGAGGTAAACAATTGCTTCTCATTTATTAATTCAAAAGATGAATCAGATTCAACCATTTCTGGATGGAATGAATCTTTTCATGCAACATTACCAAGTTCAGTGTTCTAAGCAAAATTGCGTTTCTTTTATTACAATATTCTGAAAACCCAGGCCACCACAAACAGATGAGAACAGCAAAGCTTTTCCTGCTGTTCACTCTGGCTGCTGCTGTGGAGGCTGATGTGGTTTCTAAGAGGGACTAAGGCAATCACTCCAAGCTTCTATTAGTGACAGCTCCAATATGTTTTCTCACTGGGTGGTCAGACTGCTCGTGCCATGTGGAAGAGTATCTCCAAATATTTACAGACTAGAAAGACATTAATAATGGTGTTCTTTATTTTAATTTATGTAAAAGAACTGAGTTTCACACGGCACACACAACTTCCCATAATCAACTACTTATTATACAAGGTCACTTTGCAGTCCAGGTTGCCTAAAACTCACTACTGCAGGCCCTATCCTCAGGTTCTCAAGTGCTGGGATGACGGGCATGGGTCACTATCCTGTCCCTATAATCAACTCTTTATGTACAATTTTCCACTGCAGCAAACTTGTTATTTGGAGTGAAAGTATACAGGGTTTTATCTTGACATTGTTCATCCTCAAAAAAATATCTGGGCTTGAGAGATGTTTCGGTTGGTGAAGGGCTAGCTAGGCAAGCATGAGAATTGACTTTAGATTCCCAGCACCCACATAAGAAACCAGGGCAGCGGTGCACGCTTGTAATCTCAGTGCTTCAGAGGGAAAATAGGCAGCTCTCTAGAGCTTGCTGACCAGACCAAATAGCCTAAAACAATTAGCATGGTCTAAGTTCATTGACAGAGCACTGTCTCAAAAAAAATAAGGTGGAGGGGCTAGAGAGATGGCTCATCGGTTAAGAGCGTCTGCTCTTTCAGAGGACCCAGGTTCAATCCCCAGCACCCATATGGCAGCCTACAACTGTCTGTAACTCCAGTTTCAGGGGTCCAACACCTTCACACAGACATACATGCAGGCAAAACACAAGTATGCAAGAGATAAAAATAAAAATAAGGTGGAGAGTGAAGTAGCTGATACACAATATTGACATTTGGCTTCCACATGTATGCACACACATGTGTACATACCTTAAAGAATATATATACATATATGAAAATGAAAAAAATTTAAAATCTATCAATTAGGTCAACTTTAGAAACATCTCCCTCATGTGTGAAGAATCAAATGGTGGCTGGGTAAGGTAGTGCACACCTTTAATCCCAGCACTTAAGAGGCAAAAGGGAGGAAGATTTCTCTCAGTTTGAGGGCTATATGGTTTATGTAGCAAGTTCCAGAACAGCCAGGACCCTGCCTTAAAAAAAAAAAAAATCAAATTATGTATCTGAGACTTGGACAGAGGGTAGGGAGAGGAGGACGAGCAACATCAGTCTCCACCCTTTTTATTCCGAAATCAATGAATTAGAATACTGCTTTTGAGTACAAATCTATGTATGAGGCCCTCAGTAAAGGTGGTGATGTATTTTTTTATAAAACGTCTTTTAGTTCCACCCCCTACCCCCACAAAAACTGAACTTCTGGCAGACCTTACAGCCAAATTAATAATACCCCTTAATGTAATTTAAGACTATTTACTTTTTATTTTATTCTTTTGTTTTTAAAGACAGGGTTTCTCTATATAACAGCCCTAGCTGTCCTCGACCTAGCTCTATAGACCAGGCTGACCTCCAATTCACAGAAATCCACCTGCCTTTGTCTCCTGAGTGCTGGGATGAAAGGCGTGTGCTACTTACAGTGCCACTTATATTGTGTACTCAGAATATTTAACTTGCTCTTAAGAAAACAATATAACAGCTGGGCAGTAGTGGGTGACACACACCTTTAATCCCAGCACTCCCGAGGCAGAGGCAGGTGGATCTCTGTGAGGTCAGACTGGTCTACAAGAGCTAGTTTCAGGATCGACTCCAAAGCTACAGAGAAATCCTGTCTCGAAAAGAATCCCTATCTTGAAAAACAACAATAAAAAAACAACAACAAAAACGAAGTAGAGCCAGTTGGTGGTGGCACACACCTTT